GTCACTCTTAGCTTCATTTCTCCCCATAGACCTTACTGGCATGGGTGTCCCTACCAGGAGCTTGTGCTCCAGCCTGCATTGCTCTATGGTTCAGTAAAATTACTGGGATCTCCCACCACGACCAGGTGGTGACCACGGAAGAGTTATTATTATTATTATTATTATTTATATTTTATATTATTACACTTTATTATTATTATTTAAGTTTATTCTAGCAAAAGAAACATGCAAAATATAACAATTTATGATTATTTAAACACGAAAAGTTCTTTAAACATACATATTTTTCGTGGATAGATGGCTTTTTAATGAGCAATAACATCGCAAAAATCAGTAGAAAACTAAATCTTGGTTACATTTTGCTAACTTAAACTAACTTTTGTACTTCTCTTTGTACAATGCAAACAGTTTATATATATATTTTTTCGTTTTAATGCCATCACGTAAGCGGACATCGGAACTAATCTAAACAGCTACGCCAACTATCGATTTTTTTCATTTGTTGCTTTATATTAAAGCTTAAATATGAACGTACACAGAAAAATATCGCAAATTCATGCCTACCTGTTGTCAAGTGTGTTCAAAAACTTTTAAATTTCTTTATAAAGGACTTTAAGAAACACTTACCGTTCAAAACATACAGAACCACGCGCACTTTCTGTCAGAACATGGCGGATTTTAACCACGTGATACAACTAAGCAATAGAAAANAATTGTGAAAAAAGCACTCTCTTCGAAAACTCAATTTGTTTTCCGTCCAAGTTCTCTTTCGCGTTACACTCGTATGCTTTCAGTATTTGGGCTGCAATTTAAATAGATTGTATGTATGCATGTATGCCTGCTGTCTGTCCTACCTTAATCTCGAGAACGAAGTGAGATAGATAAAAGTCCAAATCAGATACGGAAAGAGGCACTTATATAGTTAATTGAAAGGAGTTGGATGACCGCCATTATTGTGTTGTCGTCAAGAACAGTATAATATATAGGGGCAAGACTCGACTAATTTCACGCAGAGAGCATATAATTAAAATTACGATTAAAAATTACATTCTGGTATTATGACGAAGAAACAATAAATAATTTCTGGTTTTTCTTTATTTTTGACGTGTTTGGTTAAACAAGAATTAAAACAAAACATTAAATTTCTCCTTTATTTTATATTTATAGCTATTTATTTTATACTATATTTTATACTTATACTATTTAAAAGTTAATTTAAAAATTAGACATCAAAATTGAATAAAATATAAATTACAGAAACATGCAAATATACAAATATAATTTGTCTGCAATCAAAATTTACAGAGAGTAAAAAATTCATCAATGAATTTTATGTATTGTGTGCAAGATAATAGATTCATTAATAATAAACTTTTAATTTTACCCAATTAAAAGATGTATAAATACGGAGATTAAAACATTTCAAATTAATCATCCGAATGCCACAAAACGTCGATTAATGAATCTTGTCCATGATTCTGGGAACCATATTGTAACATAAAAATGTGTCGTCCTACTCTATTTCGTAATCTTCTTTCCAATATTTCACCACCCACAAATCTGATAACTTTAAGATAAAAGAAAAGAAAACACTTTCAACGAAAAGCAAATAGTGGTTGAAATGTCTGTTCCAATTCCTTTGTTCCACGTTGAATATCTTTCTTCTAAAATATGAAAATAAAATTTGTATAAAGTAAGTTAAAACAATTTAACTTCCTTAACTTATCCATTTTTTCAGGAAAATTCTCTTCGAATAACCGAACTAAACAATTTAATAACTTCAACAATAGTTGAAAAGCAATTCTTAAAATTTATTGTTTATGCAACAATAAAAATCGTGCTTACAGAATGATAATNGTCGTCAAGAACAGTATAATATATAGGGGCAAGACTCGACTAATTTCACGCAGAGAGCATATAATTAAAATTACGATTAAAAATTGCATTCTGGTATTATGACGAAGAAACAATAAATAATTTCTGGTTTTTCTTTATTTTTGACGTGTTTGGTTAAACAAGAATTAAAACAAAACATTAAATTTCTCCTTTATTTTATATTTATAGCTATTTATTTTATACTATATTTTATACTTATACTATTTAAAAGTTAATTTAAAAATTAGACATCAAAATTGAATAAAATATAAATTACAGAAACATGCAAATATACAAATATAATTTGTCTGCAATCAAAATTTACAGAGAGTAAAAAATTCATCAATGAATTTTATGTATTGTGTGCAAGATAATAGATTCATTAATAATAAACTTTTAATTTTACCCAATTAAAAGATGTATAAATACGGAGATTAAAACATTTCAAATTAATCATCCGAATGCCACAAAACGTCGATTAATGAATCTTGTCCATGATTCTGGGAACCATATTGTAACATAAAAATGTGTCGTCCTACTCTATTTCGTAATCTTCTTTCCAATATTTCACCACCCACAAATCTGATAACTTTAAGATAAAAGAAAAGAAAACACTTTCAACGAAAAGCAAATAGTGGTTGAAATGTCTGTTCCAATTCCTTTGTTCCACGTTGAATATCTTTCTTCTAAAATATGAAAATAAAATTTGTATAAAGTAAGTTAAAACAATTTAACTTCCTTAACTTATCCATTTTTTCAGGAAAATTCTCTTCGAATAACCGAACTAAACAATTTAATAACTTCAACAATAGTTGAAAAACAATTCTTAAAATTTATTGTTTATGCAACAATAAAAATCGTGCTTACGGAATGATAATAGAAGCATGTGCTACGCATTACGCGTGTCAATCAATCTTATTTTGTTTTTTTTTCGTGAGTAACTATAAAAAACGACGTGTGCGATAATAAATGAGAATGTTTCTTTGTTTGTTCGCTATACATTTCTTGGCTCTTCGACCAATTGCTAAGAAGTTCGGTACTTACTTTCAAATCCTTCTAACGTACGTCATGTCGGACATTGCTTTTAGAAATTACGGTTGAATTTCTATAAATCAATTTTTTTTTTTTTTTACATTTCGTTTCATTTGTTTAGTTATCACAATGCAACACTTGGGCCATTTGTCTAGAACATACACGGCCAATATACGGCCCGCGGGCCAAATCCAACCTGTCTAATAAATCTATGTGGTCCACGATCCATCTTTGAATATTAGCTAGTGAAGTCCGAATAGCTCGATGAAAAATTTTGACGCCTAAAAAAGAAATACAGGTCAACAACTCACTGTGCGTTTAGAGTTAACTGTTTATTACAAATCTCGTAATTATAGCGTAGAATGTTCATAAAGCATGATAATTTAAAAAATATATCTGTAATCTCTAGCTACAAGTTGACACCACGATGAAATCTTCCTAGGGCAGCCTTTGGTTTGGCCCGTTGAAAAAGTTTTCTTCCCAATTTGGCCCGGGGGCAGAAACTATTGCTCACTTATTGTCTAGGGGTGTTTTCCAAGAGCATTTTTAAAAGGAAACTGGCTTCTATTTCGGCATTACAGACGTGGAGAAAACCCGAAAAACTTTACGTGGCCAGGCTGTCCGAGCGCTGCGCGGATCCACGACCAAACTCCCAGTGTTCGGGAACTCTTCCACTCAAAGTACCAGGTCAAACTCCGCTCGGCCACGGGAACAACGTTACAAAAACCCTATTCAAAAGTAGCAGAGTCGAGTCCAAAGATATAGATGATTTCCTATCGTTCACCGAGCACTAGAGATTGTAAATTTACCGACTTTTTCATTTACCGGTAAATCGGTAAATGAAAATTANATTGTCGCTACACTGATAATCTAGGGTACTCTAGACTCGTGAGCTATCACTCTGATATTCTATTCGTTTGCATGTGTTAGCCTGCTTATCATTTCCTGTAAGTTTCTTCATGCTGTTGCAATCTTCACAAACGGTAGTGTATATTATCGCAAGATTAAAGTCAATTCGTTACTTTTAAAATCGTGATCTTCTTTTTCAGTTTTGAAACTTGAGCCCAAATTCAGAAATTTTAACATAAATTTTATATTTCTAACTATTATTAAATGGCGAAGACTTAATTTTTATGGTAGAAATAGGTTTTATAACAAAATTCTAAATGCTAATAACGAATAAAATCGTCATCAATTCCGACCCTACTGAAGATACACGCGACACTCCTTAACACGTGTTGGATCTTCTTCGTTACGATTTCTCTAGAGGCGCTACGGTCGGTCTCAGCCAATCGGAACTTTCCAATTTTCAACGTAGACTCAGCGCTGATCTCAACATTAGTTAAAATTTGTTCCTTTTTTCAACGTTGAGGTAGCGCTGTTGTCAGCGCTGACTAAACAGACATGTTGACTGCTACTATCCAATGAATTGTGGGTAATTGGTAAGACATTTGAATGGAATCCATCTTGCTGAGAATGGAATTATGGAAACTAAGCACTTCTTAGTCGAGTTGAAACGTCGTTGATGACGTCAAATTGTTGACTTCAACACTCAACACTCGCGTTGAAAATTGGAATGTCGCGAATGTGTTTCTGCAGCTAAAAGTTTGTATACAAACGCCTTAATTTTTTTATATAAACTTTATATAAATTTATAAAGGCATAATACAAAAGCTTGTATTTTGCATTTATAAATTGCTGTACTTGTAAATGACATTTTTCCATCTCAAAAATAATGATGATTATTATTTCATTTATTTTTTTAAAAAATGCGAAACTAAGGTAAAGTATTTGCAAAATTTTATAAGCATAATTTGCATAATTCCTTGTCTCATTACTCATATTTTTATCTGCGAGTTTCGCATTTATCTGCATTGTTAGAATTCACTTTCCTTTTGTGCGTTTCCACATTTAGTGTATTTTAATAATGTTGTATAAGGAAGACATTATCATGATAACTGTGTTGCTCATTAAATTATTTAACGGAGTTCTCTAAATGACAAAGTAAGTAGTCTGTCCTCGACATAAAATAAGCGTTTATATTATATTAGAAATTACGTGAATACAGCAACTTAAAAAATGAAAGGTTAATCTCTACTTACGTGGACTGTCATGGCCGCACAGGGTGGACCGACGTTCTAACCTAACCTAACCTATTCTAATAAATTACAAATATTGTTAATGTATTAGAATAGGTTAGGTTATAATGTGAGTCTCCACTGTGCGGCCATGACAGTGCACGTAAGTAAAGATTGACCAAATGAAAATATTAATAAGAATATACATAAAACACACGGTTTCCAATTGTAAGTAAATATTCACGTTAGCCATTGTGAAATTTATTATTATTATTTGTTACGGTGTTTCAGAAACAATTACATCTAACAGGTACTGACATCACTGTTTCTCGCAAACTTCATAATAGGTTTGAAAGATTCCGTATGCTAGGATGTTAGTGAGTGGGGAGAACCCTATTTTATTCATCCTCTTAGAGGCTTAACTATTGTTCAAAATTTTTGAAATTTTGCTGGAAGGTCTGCTCTATAGTGGATCGATCCTTGTAAATTTTGGTGTTGAAGGTAAAGGGGATGGAGAGATAGACGGGAGATCGTATGTCCTACCTATATCGAGGGTTTTTAATTTTTTTGGCTGGAAAATTACGCAACTCATTGCTGTATTTCTCCCCAGGTAATGTTCAGCACGTCGGTCAGCTTGTTCGTCATTTAAATAATTGTAATAACAAAGTACGTTCAGGAATTCAATATACTCGAAACACACAGAATACTTCTGTTGATTATCGTAGCTACGACAACTTCGTGGATTTTGGAATTATTCAGATTGCTGAGGTAAGAGTCTCCACTGTGATTTCATCTGTTCATTTTCAAGTATATGTGTAATTTAATTAACTTTATAAAATATTTGTTTCATATCTCAGAAGAAAGATATTCAATGTGGAGCATTGAATATCTGAGCAGACATTTCAACTGCTGTTCGCTGTTCGTCGAAAGTATTTTCCTTTACTCTATCTTACGGTTGGCGGATTCGTACGTGGTGGAATATTTGAAAGGAGAAGATTACGAAACAGAGTCGGACGACACATCTTTGTTAAAATATTGTTCCCGGGATCATGCACAACTTTCATTAATCGACGTTTTCTGGCATTCGAAGATTAATTTGAAATGTTTTAATCTTCGTATTTATAAATCTTTTAATTGGGTAAAATTAAAAGTTTATTATTATAGATTCACATTACCATACAGACAATACATGAATCTTCAACGATCAATTTTTTTTATTCTCTGTAAATTTTGATTGCAGATAAATTATATTTGTATATGTTGCTATAATTTCTATTTTATTCAATTTTGATATCTAATTTTTAAATTAAATATTAAATGGTATAAGTATGAAATAATGTTTTGTTTTTATTCTTGTTTAACCAAACACGTCGAAAATGAAGAGAAACGAGAAATTATTTATTGTTTCGTCGTTATAATACCGGAATGCAATTTTTANCTCTAAATGACAAAGTAAGTAGTCTGTCCTCGACATAAAATAAGCGTTTATATTATATTAGAAATTACGTGAATACAGCAACTTAAAAAATGAAAGGTTAATCTCTACTTACGTGGACTGTCATGGCCGCACAGGGTGGACCGACGTTCTAACCTAACCTAACCTATTCTAATAAATTACAAATATTGTTAATGTATTAGAATAGGTTAGGTTATAATGTGAGTCTCCACTGTGCGGCCATGACAGTGCACGTAAGTAAAGATTGACCAAATGAAAATATTAATAAGAATATACATAAAACACACGGTTTCCAATTGTAAGTAAATATTCACGTTAGCCATTGTGAAATTTATTATTATTATTTGTTACGGTGTTTCAGAAACAATTACATCTAACAGGTACTGACATCACTGTTTCTCGCAAACTTCATAATAGGTTTGAAAGATTCCGTATGCTAGGATGTTAGTGAGTGGGGAGAACCCTATTTTATTCATCCTCTTAGAGGCTTAACTATTGTTCAAAATTTTTGAAATTTTGCTGGAAGGTCTGCTCTATAGTGGATCGATCCTTGTAAATTTTGGTGTTGAAGGTAAAGGGGATGGAGAGATAGACGGGAGATCGTATGTCCTACCTATATCGAGGGTTTTTAATTTTTTTGGCTGGAAAATTACGCAACTCATTGCTGTATTTCTCCCCAGGTAATGTTCAGCACGTCGGTCAGCTTGTTCGTCATTTAAATAATTGTAATAACAAAGTACGTTCAGGAATTCAATATACTCGAAACACACAGAATACTTCTGTTGATTATCGTAGCTACGACAACTTCGTGGATTTTGGAATTATTCAGATTGCTGAGGTAAGAGTCTCCACTGTGATTTCATCTGTTCATTTTCAAGTATATGTGTAATTTAATTAACTTTATAAAATATTTGTTTCATATCTCAGAAGAAAGATATTCAATGTGGAGCATTGAATATCTGAGCAGACATTTCAACTGCTGTTCGCTGTTCGTCGAAAGTATTTTCCTTTACTCTATCTTACGGTTGGCGGATTCGTACGTGGTGGAATATTTGAAAGGAGAAGATTACGAAACAGAGTCGGACGACACATCTTTGTTAAAATATTGTTCCCGGGATCATGCACAACTTTCATTAATCGACGTTTTCTGGCATTCGAAGATTAATTTGAAATGTTTTAATCTTCGTATTTATAAATCTTTTAATTGGGTAAAATTAAAAGTTTATTATTATAGATTCACATTACCATACAGACAATACATGAATCTTCAACGATCAATTTTTTTTATTCTCTGTAAATTTTGATTGCAGATAAATTATATTTGTATATGTTGCTATAATTTCTATTTTATTCAATTTTGATATCTAATTTTTAAATTAAATATTAAATGGTATAAGTATGAAATAATGTTTTGTTTTTATTCTTGTTTAACCAAACACGTCGAAAATGAAGAGAAACGAGAAATTATTTATTGTTTCGTCGTTATAATACCGGAATGCAATTTTTAATCGTAATTTTAATTACAGTAGACCCCCTATAATTACGGTTCCTATAATTACGATTCCCATATAACTGCGAAAAAATTGCGACGGTATCCGTTAAAAAAAGGGTAAAAAAAACTTCTATAATTACGTAAAACATCATCAGGCAGCCGAACTAATTTCCGCCGTCCAGCGCCACGCTNTAGACCCCCTATAATTACGGTTCCTATAATTACGATTCCCATATAACTGCGAAAAAATTGCGACGGTATCCGTTAAAAAAAGGGTAAAAAAACTTTTATAATTACGTAAAACATCATCGGGCAGCCGAACTAATTTCCGCCGTCAAGTGCCACGCTTCGGAGAAATCACTATCGTCTGTACAGTATTATATATAAATTAGAGGAGAAGTTGGTATTATGGCACACTGCTAGTATTATGGAACCACCCCATTTCGAACTGATAATAAAGGTGAACTGTAGCGGATTGTGGCCGAACTGAACTAGACAGACATCCATAGCAAGGGGAAAACCCGTTTTACTTCGGTTAAACGGTTGTCCGTATTTAATCAGCAAATTTGTTTTTTTCAAAATTCGCAAGTTTTGAATGCTAAGTGAATTTAATTATTTTCAAAATATAAATCGTGTATTTGTAGGTTCACTGGTGCACGCATTCCGTTCCATAGAATTAGGGTTACATATTAATCTGTGTGATGTTCACGTTTTTTAAAATTTGGTCTTGACAGAGATAAGTTAATTCGAGATGGCGATGCGTGAAATACGGACCCCATTGGTGCTTTTACAGTAATATGGAACTCAACTCTTTCGAACTTTCTATTTGCAAGCAGACATTCCTCCATAGCAATTTGTGAAAAAGACACAAGGTAGAAAGCCAATTCTTCCCGATAATGTCGAAAAAGAGCTGCTGGAATATATATTGTTGACGGAGGTCATATTTTTCTATTATAAAAGCATTATTGCGATAAAATACATTGGAGTAAATAATTTAGTAATTATTTGACATTTTTTGTTTTTTCCTATTTGTTTTTGGCTATATTAAAGCATTTTTTTGAAAATATACAGTAAGGTTCCATATTACCACCCGATTTTCTCCAAGCCTACTTTCGGACTTTTTGTACAAAAGCCTTCAAAAACCATACTTATAATTACACTAGCGAAAAATCCAATTAGGAACATTTAGTTTACTAGTTAC